CTCACACCCACACCCACACCCACACCCACACCCACCCCCTGGTGTTCAAAAATATTCGTACCCTTATATATTTATATCATATATCTCCCATCGTTCAACGAGCCTATTATAATTGTAACTGGCGCATTAATGCTCAATTTAAGTTAAGTCATCTCTTCGAGATGCCTTAACTCTATTTTAACTTTTCTAGCGATTCTATTGGTTAATTCAGTTTTATTTTTTCTAGTGTGAATGGGGTCATATACACCTCTTTTTTTCTTTCTTTGAGCAGTATGTACATTTTTTTTCTCTCTCCTTGTTGAAACAGAGAATGAAGGAAGGTCAATCATCGTTTTTTTTCATTCGACTATCATCATACGGTCATATATGTCGTCCATCTAAAAAATTCACACACATTTATTTAGTTACATTCGTTGAAAAGATCTGTCACGAAACTCAAAACTATTCCAAACAAATGTACGTAATTACATCAACAAATATGTAGCATATTTTTATTGATTTTGTTTATAGAGTAGAATAGGTACGAAATAAAGTTAGAGAAGCGAAGATAAACATGGTCCTCAAGGGTACATCTTTACTTCAAATCACACTCTTAAACTGATGGTGTATTGTACGCACACACAACATTGAGTGAGGCGAGAGCGCTATGATTGATGTAATTAAAGTAAAGATGTTCTATCAAATTTAAGTGAATAATAAATGAGTAAGATGATGCTCGTCAATTTTTCTTATTTCTTTCTTTATCTACTTTGCTGTCACTATAACTATTTTCAAATTCTTAATTTAGTCATTTCTAAATTGATAGAACGTTCAAAATAATTATAGAACATTATCAAACTGAAATTTCTTGTATCAAGCACAGAATTTCACTACATGAGTGGATGGAAAAAAGTAGAAAGGAAAAATGTCGAAAATAAAAATATCGAAAATAGAAATTATACAAATATCGAAATCTAGAAGCAATAAAAATGATAGTAGACAGAAGCAAAGATCTTCTCTTTTATTCTCACTCGTACATTCATACCATCACGTGCATCTATCACTTTCGATATTTTTATTTTTGACGTTTTTCCTTTGCCTTTTCCCATCTTACCTTTATATCTACCATTGTTATCCAATCAGGATTTATGAAACACTGAATTATAAAGGAACATTGTTTTATCAAATTTTTCTTTTTTCTTTCACTGACACTTTCCTCTTGTATTATGTAACGTGGAATATGTCGCTTACCGATGAAAAAAAGCGTAGATTTAACTATGATTCGTTATTTATTCAAAAGTTGCTCATAGCGTTTCGAGTTCCTTAGATAATCGAAAGAAAAAAACGTGAATATGTGATCGAAATATTTTCAAACGTGCTTTCTCGCTACTAAGCACATTAGACAATGCTTGAGCTGAAAATTGCAACTATTACTTACCTATCATTGTCTATCGCTTGGCTATTTGAGAATTTACACTGAACTTAACTGTTCATTTTTTGACCATACGTTTCAAATGTTCATTATTTCTTAAAATATATCATCTAACGGGTCGAAGTAATGAAAAGATTTTTGAATTTGTCAGAATTTTTCTAACCCTTCTATGAGCATTTTTTGCAAGAAACATGCTCTCTTCAATACATTTATTAAAACAAAATATGCTGTATGAAGATCAATCTTTTTAGTAAAATAAACATGGTAACAATCCTATCATTTCCTGTTCAACAACAACATGCATCAAAATCATACATTAGGACAAGCAATTTTCCTAAACACTTCGGGTATGTTTTTCGTATCAATCGCTATCGCAGCTAGATGTAAGAGTACGGACAAAAGAGATTTGATATTTACTATTTTACTTGTATCTGTGATCCCTATTGAAGTTTCTGTAACATAGAGTTTGGCTACCATAGAGAAGTTTGTCTTTGTGTCAATACTAACTCGCTGATATTAGCATAGCTATTTCTATAGAATTATAAAATGTTTACATTCGTGTTAAATAAACTCCTAGAGTGTTTTTATTTAAAATAACAAAATGAGTTACAGCCCAGGATGTCTATTGAGGCTGAAAAGCTGCTGCGGCCATACTCATTTCAATACTGGGGTGATGAGAAAAACGAAGCGCCCGCGACACGTCTGAAAAATAACTTAATCGCACCGCAGAGTAATAAAAAAGCTACCACCTCCGCGACAGTATAAAAACGAAGGCTATGGCGCCAGTATTATCACTTTTAAAGATAGTATAGTAATTCTAGATGTATACGTTTTATTAAGACCAAATTTATGGAAAAAGAAAAAAATTATAAGAATGAAATTACTTTAGAAACAACGAAATAATATTATGTAGAGAATTGTTTCAACCATGTTGATGATAGCAAGTCAAGTTGTATTGACTGGCATGACAATTATTTTGATTCATGTTCATAATAACGAACCTGCGATTTATCACTAATTATAACTAGAAGAGAAAATTATTTTGTTCAATAGAACAGTGAAGTAAAAGCTCTAAGAACGCTAGAGCATGTCAGAGATGCCCATGGCGGTACGGTAGCGGTAGGTTTTTTGGAATAGCCGTCGCGGTAGCGGCACGGCAGCGGTAAGTATTTTTTGAAGGAAAATGCAAAAACACCTAAATCTGAACACAAATTTAATGTTTCAAATGCAACACAATGATATTCGACGAATATGATCGATTAGTGACAACAGTTCTAGTCCAAAACAGTTACAGTCGTACCAACTGAAACATTTTTCTAACGACCGTCGCGGCAGCGGTAGGTTTTTTCAAATATCCATCGCGGTGCGGCGCGGCAGCGGCAGCGGTCAGTTTTCAACCGCGATGGATATCTCTGGAGCATGTTCATTTCGTTGATTAGACAAGACAAAATATGACACTTATTCTGGAAAAACTTCTGTTAAATGTAGTATTTGATGCATTGTG